GCGCCCCGCGCGCCTCCTGCACACATCCAGAGGCTCCCAGCTGGGAGGCGGGGCCGTGATTGGTGCTGGGAGCCTCTGGTCACATGCAGAAGCCAGGCGGGGGGAGTGGTTGGGAGTCCCGGTCTCTGCCCCGCCCCACCCAGCTTTTGCACGTGACCACAGGGCTCCCAGTGCCAATCGCGGCCCCGCTCCCCCACCCCTGCCAAGCTTCCATCTGGCACCCAGCCAGAAATTCAGAAAATACCGGACATTGCACATGTCCAGTATTTTCTGAATTTTTCTACCGGACAGAGGGCACAAATACCAGACCATCCGGTAAAAAACCGGACACCTGGCCACCCAGCTTTTGCACGTGACCACAGGGCTCCCAGTGCCAATCGCGGCCCCGCTCCCCCACCCCTGCCAAGCTTCCATCTGGCACCCAGCCAGAAATTCAGAAAATACCGGACATTGCACATGTCCAGTATTTTCTGAATTTTTCTACCGGACAGAGGGCACAAATACCAGACCATCCGGTAAAAAACCGGACACCTGGCAACCCTATTGGTCGCTAATCATCTCATCTGCCATATTCCCAAAGTCACAAGTTACAATCAGACTCCTCAGAGAAGCAATATACTGAATTATAGTCTCCCCTGGTTTCTGCTCACGCTGGCAAAATCTGTAGTGATTAGCTATTACATTCACTTTTGGCACAAAAAAGGTTCTTTAATGCAGTGAGTGTAGTCTCATATTTATCATCTGCAAGGGGAAAAGTGTAAAATATACGCTGCCCTTCTGCTCCAAGGCAATGGATTAGTAGAACACGATTTCTTACCTCAGAAATCTCTGTAGCACTCATTGCAAGCAGAAATCCAGGCAGTAAACGCAATCAGAGGCTCACCTGGGCTTTGCAGAAAGGGTGCAGGTAGGTTCAGAGGCAGAAGATCCCTCCTCGTTGCCAAAATGTTGTATCATGCATGCAAGGTACTAACAAACTTCAACAGGACTTTATTTACCAGAAGTGGAGCCTCTTTACAAAGCTGCTGCATCCCTCAGTAGCTCTCACTCAGCCCCTTCCAATCTTCTCTCTCCTCTTTCCTGTTTCCTGTGCTTCCAGACTCTCAACAGCCAATGCTCCCAGTTCTAATAATTACAAGCAGCATCTAAAACTCCACAATAATGGATCCTGGAGCCCCTCATCCAGCTTGCTTCCCAACTACTCCCATTGTGCTCTCCTGTGTTTTAGTCTGTTACTGTGGACAGTGAAAAGGGAGTGGTGCATAGGGAGTAGAGAGAGCCTCTGTTTGACCACTCAGGCTCCGGGCTTTCAGCCCTACTCTCAGTGTAGAAGCACAAAGTTTTGTAAGTGATCTCAAGGGGACACACTGAGGGCCTGATCCATAGCTCATTGAAACCAGTGGGATCCTTTTTATTTACTTCACTGGGCTTTGGACCAGGCCCTCCGTGAATTTCGCCTCAGGTTGGAAAACTTCAGCTTAGTTTCACTGGCTTGTTCAGGTTAGTTGCTTATTAACTAATTGGTGGATTATTCAGTTTAACTAGCTGTTTTCTCCTAGGTTTCATTTCAGTTTCCAGGTTGACCATGTTAATTTCCAGGAGCAACATTCTCTTCTGTTTCAGCTGCTTACTCTCTTTAGGAAGTGACCTCATATCATTAATCAAACAGATTATTGCTTGGAGTTCCCTGCAACTGAATTACCTAGTGTTCCTGTATTGTAAAGGTCCCTCCCCATGAGCGCTGAATGACTCTATTATTTTCTCTTTATTAGGTTTGTTTCTAAAGAAGGTTTCAGTGGGTTATTTATTATATGTTTAGTAGTTCAGCTTGCAGAAAACATATTACATCAATTTTATTATTTTAATTTGTTTGCCTGTTAAAATAGAAATATTTTATGTGTCCTGGTGGGGCAGTTAAAGTTTTTGCTGACAGTTTTATGATTTCAATAGCTCAGAGAAGTCCCTCTTTTTTTCACAGAAAGCTCCATTAAAAAGTTTAATATGTCCCATTCTTTATTTAAGATGAGTGTAGGAGTATATTATTTCTAGCAGATCACAAGGAAAGCATAATGTAATATAAGTATAATATTGGGATGGTTACATTTTATTTTTATTTTTGAATTATGGAAACTTTTCTCAGTCTGCGTCACCTGGTACAGAACTGATCTCATTATCTTTGTACTCTCATTAATAACTGCTCTGCCAGGATCAGTCTGAAGCCAGGCTCGCTTAAGTGTCTTGTAACACAAATGTGTGTCTCAGTTGTGATCTATGAACAAGTAGGAATGGGTGAAATGATGAAGCCTCCCTTTTCTTGTCTCTAGTAGGAATAACAAAGCAATGTAGTGAATCAATGTGCACAAGGTGTCAGACATAATTACTGTATAAATCTCACAGACTAGTGCAACCCCCTCTTTTCTTCCTGGGTTACTCAGGAGCAGGCAATGTTTTTAATATTAAAGGAGGGCCTAAGTATCCCAATGTTGATGTTGAATAGTTGGGGATTCCCTATCCATCCCTTTGCTGCAGTGCCTTGCTTCTAAAGGAATATAAAAAGGCATTGCCTCCACCTGGCTGGCCCCTGTACACACTTAATGGTGTGCCTTGGAACCTCCAGGAATAAACTTATTCCAGTAATAATCTGGATCTAACTCCAAAACAACAGTTATAAATAATATACATCTAACGGGTTAAATTAGAATTGACACATCTTTACTTAACTTAAAGAGACAGGGTTTAATAGACTAAAATTGAATAAAATCAATTGACAAAGTACACAGAAATAAATGAAACACTTCTCTAACTGGCATTTACACTGCCATCATTTATCCCACCCCAGAGTGTGCACTCCTCAGGATCTCAGAGCCCCAGACACTTGCTTGTATGGGTACGCTTGAAGATCTGCAGCTAAAGTGGAGACAGAACTGTGCAGGTTGTGTGTGTCAGTCCAAGCAAGGTCACAAGCTGCACAATGCCGCTGATACTGGAGCTGGCCCCACCAAATACCAGCAGTTCTGGTTCACTGGGCAGATCATTCTGCCTCTCTTTGGACCTAGATTCAGTCTGTCTTCTGTGCTCCATCCCAGACAGCACTTTCCCAAACAGCCGCCGTTGCTCATAGGATCTTCTATGCAGGCCGTTCTCAGCCACAGGCACAGCCAGTCTCTCCTTTTGAGGGACAATCACCAAGAACCCCTGAAGAAGCCTGCTAGATCAAAGCCCCAGCAGGCTGTCAGCAGCAAGCTCTAGCTGTCAGCAGCAGCTCCTAGACTGGAAAAGGCTCCACGCCAGCAACCTGGTTCCTCTCTCTAAATTAGAGGCTACCAACTCTCTCTCTGCACTGCTTGGAAGAGAACAACAGTTTCCCTCCTTTTTCCAAGGTATCATGGGAGTTGTAGTCTCTAGGGCTTGATTGGATCCTCCCAGTACAAGTTAGAGGCGCCTATAGAAAAGGGGGCCTGCACTAGGAAAGGAGAATAGAACACTGCCCTCTAGTTCCAAAAAGCACTGAAGCATGACTCTAGCTGGTAACTATAGTAAGCCCCTTATAATCTTCCTGGGCCAGCCACTACGTGGCAATGTTAGACTTTAACTTATATACACAAAAGTGCATTACAACATTACAGTATCAGAAATGCTTCCTGTCCACTCTCATTTACTCATTGATCTTGCTGGCCTAGGAATGTGTAACTATCCTGTGCTAGCTCTAGTGAGTCTGACCTGTTATTTTTTTTGGCCCCTGTCTGAGGCAGGATACTGAACTAGATGGGCAATTCTGTTATAGTACGGTAGTCACAATGTTTTTTGTGTTATTACCTTATTGTTTTCAATCAACTGCTGGTCCCACTAGAATAGTTTCAGAGTTAAAAGCAAGCTGCTCAACTTCTGTGCTATGGGAAGCCATCAACATTCAACCTCGCTTGGGTTTGCCTTTGAGAGTTCTGAGTGTATCTCCACACTATTTCATGTTTTCCAGAGTGTCTGGAGGTGAGCTTTTCGACCGCATAGTAGAGAAAGGATTTTACACCGAGAAGGATGCAAGCACTCTGATACGGCAGGTGCTGGATGCTGTGTACTATCTGCACAGAATGGGCATTGTGCATCGCGATCTCAAGGTAAGGCCATTCACTTCCTTGTATCTCCAGATAGTCTAAATCTTAAACCTTATTACATTAAGCAATATATGGATCAAGCAGTCTTCTCTCCCCACTGGATGTTACAGTTCTTAATACACTCTCAAGCCTGGGATCAGTCTCCTTAATTGAAGTGTTTGTCTTTCCAGTGCCCTTGATACTTCTAACATAGGTAGAGAAGGAGGAAGGCCCAGGAATGATGCTACTGTCTTTATTTTATAGCCTCAGTCCACATGCTTGGAAAATACTAGCCCAGACATGTCCTGGTGGGCTTTGCTGAGTCACAGGTTAAGCAAGCACCCTGGTATGATCTTGTGCAATTGTCACTGAATTGTAAATCCCTTGATTACAACCCATCTGCTGATTTACAGTTGTTGATCACCCTCTTGAGAGTGGTTTGCCTCCTTTGTATGTCATTTGCGAAACTACCACATATTTAAGTTCTGACCATACAGAAAAACTCCACAACTTAATACAGATAATGAAATACATATTTGGACAGAACAGTAGGTTTCAGCAGATCATGACCTTTCATATGATATCTTACATGGCGTGCTTTGTATGAAATATAATGTATTGTATGATGGGGTGAATATGGAGATTCCAGGTTGCTGCTTTGTGGTAGAGAATGCCACACCATTAATTGTTAGAGAATTGGTAAACATTTTCCAGTCAGTCCCTCTTTATGGTCATTCTGTTTGAGCCAGTGTTTTTGTAAGTGCTTTCTGTATAAGCGATTCTTTTCTGAAGAACATGGTGTAATTGTATGATTTTGAGATTAGTTGTTGTTCCTCGCTGTGTGCGTGTGTCATTATAGCCGAGTCTTTCATCCCTTCTATTCAAGAAATAACATTATTTCTTCATGATTTCTACCTTCCATTTTTATGCTGCTATTGAGCTGATAATCAAATATTTCTTTGTCGATGTAATCGTGTACAGAGCTAATAAAACCACTACATTTAAGGCTTGGGTACCCTGAACAATGTAGTAGCAGAAGGCATATTTTTAATAAACAATGACTGAATATATATATTCAGTATTAGGGCCACAGCATTATTACTTAATGTAATATAGCAATTTCAGTCAGCTACATTTGCATCCCTAGTTCGAACTAGGGAGCAAGTGTAGATTTACCCTAGGACTGTACTGACTTTCCTATGCTGGTGTACCCCTGACAGGTATGAGGCCTTGCCAACCCTGCAGAGTAAGTCGATATAAGTTAGGTTGATTTATTTTCCATCGACTGACCTCAGGATCTGTGCTGTTGGTGGGATATGCTTTCTTGTCAGCCCCTCTCTTTGCGTTGAAGTACTGAAGTTGATAGGAAAGTGCTCTCCCATCGACTTGCTGCATCTTCTCCAGACCCACTATATTGACACTGCTACTACAGTTGCAGCATCACCAATTTAGTCTGTAGTGAATACAAGCCCCGAGACTAAAACTCAGTCAAGATTAAAACTAGTTGGGAAAAGTCATGAAAATGTTTTCAATTTTTCCTGGTGGCTTTTTTTAAATATTGAGTTTATAGAAATTAAAATATGTGCAGTTCAAACTATTGTACCCGGTCTCATGTGGGTTGAAAAGCAGGGCTGTATGGAGAGAGGTGGGATTTCCTGGTTATATTTTGAATTTTGAAATGTCAATAGTATTTTGAAATTCAAAAAATTTCAGTCAGCTTCTAGTCATCAAAGAAAGTGAGTGGTGATTATGATGGATGGGCTAGTGCTGTGGTTCTCAACTGGTGGTCCATGGATCACTGGTGGTCCATGCTGACTTTTTCGGTGGCCCAAGGAACATTGTCCAAAGTCACATGGCATGAGCAGGCGCTGTCGTTAGGCTGATTTGCACCATGTTCACAAGTACACGGTACGTCATCCATAGCGTCACATAGGACGCATCCGTGCTATGTTGCCAGTAACTTCCGTCTGAGGCTCTGAGTGTCAGTGTAGCTGCCGCCATCGTGCTGTGCGGTTGCTGTCATTCATCCTGTGCTACATGTGCTGTTTTACAGGTGTGGTGTAGTTTATAATGGCAACAACAGGAAGAAATGTCAAGCGCAAGTATTCGGAGGACTACATTGAATTCGGCTTCACTTATCAAAAAAAAGAAGGCATGGATTTGCCACAATGTGTTATTTGTTTCAAAGTTTTGGGGAATGACTCAATGAAGCTGGCTAAGCTCAAACTCCATCTCGAAAAGTGTCACCCCAACTTGTTGCAAAAGGATGAAGATTATTTTGAGCGTCAGTTATCAGGTCTGAAACGGCAGTGCCTCGACTTAACAAGTGCATTCTACAATAAGACAAGCAATGCAGTGCGCACTTCCTACATTGTTGCATACAAAATTGCACAGGCCAAGAAGCCTCATACCATTGTAGAGCAAGTTGTGCTCCCCTGTGCAAAAGAGATGGTACAGCTTGTTCTTGGTGAGGAAGCAGCAAGAAAGCTGAATGATATATCTGTCTCTAATGACACAGTATTGAGACAGATAAAGAAGATATCACAGAACATCAGTGAACAAGTTGTGGATGAAATAAAGAAGTCTCTATTGTTTGCCATACAATTGGATGAATCGACTGACATCACATTGTGCTGTGAGCTATTGGTGTTTGCACGATACATGGTTGAGGGAGACTTCAAAGACGAGTTTCTTTTTTGGAAGACTCTTGATACCACCACGAAGGCTCAGGATGTGATGGAAATTGTTAACAATTTCTTTGAAGTACATGGCCTGGATTGGGTAAATCTTATGGATATCACCACTGATGGTGCACCTGCCATGCTGGGCTCAAGATCGGGCTTCCAAACACTGGTGAAACAGCGCGCTTTAATGGTAACCGGAGTTCATTGTTTCATTCATAGGGAAGTTTTAGCATCAAAAACATTGCCTGATCAATTGAACGCCATTTTCAAAGGGTGAATCACATCAAATCATTGGCTCTGACACCAGGCTGTTCAAAAGATTCTGCCTAGACATAGGTTCCGACTTTGATGTGTTGCTGTTCTACACTGTACGGTGGTTGTCAGCAGGGAACGTATACTCAACAGAGTTTTTAGCATCAAAAACATTGCCTGATCAATTGAACGCCATTTTCAAAGGGTGAATCACATCAAATCATTGGCTCTGACACCAGGCTGTTCAAAAGATTCTGCCTAGACATAGGTTCCGACTTTGATGTGTTGCTGTTCTACACTGTACGGTGGTTGTCAGCAGGGAACGTATACTCAACAGAGTTTTTCAATTGAGAGAGGAGTTGGATTTATTTCTCCAGGCTCAAGGAAAAGAAGAATTCCGACATGTGACAACGCAGTCAAATTTAGAACTTGTGTATCTTGTCGATATTTTTGGAATCTTGAACAAATTGAATCTTCAGCTGCAAGGGAAAGGTGCGAATCTGTTCTCTCACCAAAGCATCGGCAAGGCTTTTCTTGACAAATTGGAACTCTGGATCATAAGAGTTGAAGGCAATAATTTGGTTCAATTTCCATATGTGGATGCCATGCTCGGGGAAAAGGAAGCCATTCGGACACAAATTCTCAATCGTTTACGGAAGCTACGAGACAAATTCCAACAATACTTTCCAGAGGTGGACAGGACAAGGGATGGATTATCTCTCATCAGGAATTCATTTACAACAGATGTTAATAGTGTTCCAGAGGATCTGCAAGAGGAATTCTTGGATCTGAAAAATGATTTTGCGGCTCAAGATGTACCAGCAGTCTACCATAGAGAAATTTTGGGCCAGCGTGACCGGGAGTTACTCAAATCTATCAGCACATGCAGTCAGATTTCTTTTGCCATTTGCATCAACTTATATGTGTGAGACTGGATTTTCGTGTTTGTTGCACGTTAAGTCCAAACAGAGGAATCAGCTTGCAGTGGAAAGCGATATTCATTATGCATTATCAGGTACCACTCCAAACATTGAAAAGCTTGTCAGTGAGAAGAGAATCCAAAAATCTGTTAGTAAGAAATAAATTTCAAACCAAAATGTTCGTTGTCTGCTCTTTTTTATCACGTCTCAAAAAGGAGGTGGTCCACGAAAATTTTTTGATTGGCCTGGTGGTCCATGGATTGAAACAAGTTGAGAACCACTGTCTTAGCTTAATCTAGTGTGTCAACCTTTGGAGCAAATCACTGGCCTGAATATTGAGTTCAGCTGTATTCCACTTAGTTGAGAAAGTAGCTTAGATTTGTTGATATTTATGATGGAGAATATTTGTTTGCACATATATATGATTCCAAATATGGAAAGAATTCTTGATGCAAAGGAATACAATTTGGGCTAATTTGATCCAGGTATTGGTAGAACTTGGGAACACCACTATTAAAAAAATTGTCCTTCAGTTGTGTGGCACTGCACTTCATTAAGTTCCAGCTGGAGCATCTCTAATATATCGAGCATGCTAATAGAAAAGATTGTGCTGAAAATTACAAACTCTTCTTCATGGTTCTGAACTCAGAGACTCATTTGTGAAATTCTCTTCTAAGTTAAATAATTTTGCCCATGGTGTCATCACATTGAGTCCCAAAAGTGTCACACAGTGATTTTAAGGTAGGTAAAGTTCCATCTTCCACAGATGAAGTTTAGTTTCAAAAGCATGAATGTTGTCATAGTATTCTATCTCAACTTGGTTAGTTTCCTGCGTTCTTGTGTTGAGTGAGTTCAAGTGCTCTGTAATATCCACCATGAAAGCAAGGTCTTGATGCCATTCATTGTCCTGTAATTCCCTTTCTGATCCATGAAAAGGTGGATCTCACAATGCAATTCAAAAAAAGGCAACAAAAATGGTTAAGGGTGTGGAACTATATCCATATGAGGCAAGATTAACAAGATTGGCACTTCTCATCTTGGAAAAGAGATGACTAAGGGAAGTTATGACTGAGGTCTGTAAAATCATCACTGGTGTGAAGAAAGTAAATAAGGAAGAGTTATTTATTCCTCATAACATAAGAACTAGGGCTCACCAAATGAAATTAAT